ATAACAATCTGTTCACAATCGTGATCGACACGATTTGTTTAATATTCATCCTTGTTATCCACAAATCGATCTACCAAATAAGTTAGATATAAAAAGTTGACAAGTACAGTACATGTACAAGAAAGCCATACATACCCCTTTTTAGACAACAAATTAACAGCGGAATTTTTTGCATCCATAAACAATGCAAACAAATTGTTATATAAACAACCTTTGTCCGTAAGCTTACGCATAAGCCTAAGCATAAGCATAAAGCATAAGCATAAAGCATAAGCTATAAGTAATAATTAATAATTAATAATTAATAATTAATAATTAATAAGTAATAAGTAATAAATAATAAGTAATAAGTAATAAGTAATCTATATATAATTTAAAAAAACTGGATGTGCGGACATTGCATATTCGTGTTACAAAATTACCCAATAGATGACCATCACATGTTCATCATTTTTTGTTTACAACCGCGACGCCTTTTTTGTTTACAACCGTGACGCCTTTTTTGTTTACAACCGCGACGCTTTTTTTTGTTACAATCGCGACTCAAACTTAACACTTTTACTATTATGATTATGGATAACATTAGCGAAACCTCAATTGAACGAAGACGTAGATTGAAAAGAGAGTCTAGTGCTCGAACAAAATCTAACCGAACTTCAGAGCAAAATGAACAGCATAAAATAAAAAGGCAAAAAAGAGAATTAAAACGCAAAGCTGCTCTATCTTCATCAGTTCCAAAAGCATGTGTGTATCCTTTTAACTCAAGTGGGTTGCAACGACATACTCTTGGAAAAATGGATACTCCATGTCTTTCTTGTGGTGCCTTAAAATGGTTAGATGAGAGAGTCACAGAATCAAGTAAACAGTCACCTGTTTTTGCAACCTGCTGTACCCAGGGAAAAGTTCTGTTACCATGTCTTCAAGAACCTCCTGCTGTCTTAAAGTCTTTCTTAATAGGTGATGATGCAGCTTCAAGAGAATTTCGGCAAAACATCCGTGCATATAACTCAGCTTTAGCTTTTACATCTATGGGAGCTAAGGTTGATGATCATATAACTGGTGCAAGAGGTCCTTATACTTTCCGTATACATGGTGAAGTGTATCATAGAATTGGATCTCTTTTTCCTCAGTCAACTGTTGAACCTCCTTCATTTGCACAGATTTATATTTTTGATACTGATAATGAAACTCAAAATAAGCTTAATATTATGCCCTCTTTAAATCAGGTAACTCTTGCAGCTCTTCAAAATATGCTTCATAATATTAACCCATATGTACAAGTTTTTCAACAGACAGGTAGATTGTTTCAACAGAATCTATCTCAAAATTTGACTATGATAATAACAGATTCAAGAATGACAGATTCACAATGTTATAATGTTCCAACTACTTCTGAAATTGCTGCTATTATAGTGGGTAATAATAATCCATCTAATACTAATGTATGCAATCGTGATATTGTTTTACATTCACATGAGGGAGGTTTACAGCGTATATCTGAGTTACATAGAGCATATGCACCATTGCATTATGTTCTTCTTTTTCCAAGAGGGGAAGATGGATGGCATCCAACAATTCCAATTCGAGATAATAATAATGCACAAGCATTTCTTTTTGATGTTGAAGAGCAACATGAAATTGATGAAGACAGCATTAAGTCTCAAAGACATGTCACAATGATGCAATATTATGCATATCGACTACAAGTAGGTAGACCTGGAGAGGGAATAAATCTTCATCTTTTTGGACGTCTCTTCCAACAATATATTGTTGATGCATATGCAAATGTGGAACAAAGTCGCCTAAATTATTTGAAGTACAATCAAAAGAGGATTCGAGCTGATCTTTATAGTGGGCTTCAGGATGCTTTGACAGCACAGGATGAAGCATCTCAAAATCTAACTGCAGCTAATATAGGCAGGCGAATTGTTCTTCCATCAAGTTTTACTGGTGGGCCACGACAGATGCAACAGCTATATCAGGATGCAATGGCTATTGTACGCACAATGGGTAAACCTGATCTCTTTATTACATTTACATGCAATCCTGCTTGGCCTGAAATTACTTCTGAACTTTTTAATAATCAGGTGGCTTCAGATCGTCCTGATCTTACGGCCAGAGTCTTCAATATGAAATTGAAGGCACTGATGAATGATATTCTTAAGCACCATATTTTTGGGATAGTTGTGGCCTATGTCTATGTGATTGAATTTCAAAAACGTGGGCTTCCTCATTCTCATATTCTTTTAATTCTTGATCAAAGTAGCAAGCCAAAAACTGTTGAAGATTATGATGCTATCGTGTCTGCTGAGATCCCTGATAAAAATCTTCATCCTATGGCATATGATACCATTTGCCGATCAATGATGCATGGTCCATGTGGTTTGGCATATCCAAATGCACCATGTATGAAAGCAGGGAAATGCTCAAAAAAGTATCCACGTAGCTTTTGTACCAGGACTTCTATAAATGAAGATGGTTATCCTGTCTACCGGCGCTCTCATGATGGACATTCAGTTGAGGTTAAAGGTATACAATTAGATAATCGTTGGGTGGTACCACATAATCTCTATCTTGCTACAAAATATGATGCACATATTAATGTTGAGATATGTTCTTCTATTGCTGCTGTTAAATATCTTTTTAAGTATGTTTATAAGGGCCATGACTGAGCAACAGTTGAAATAGGAAGAGCAAATGAAGTAGTGCCAACACCAGAAATTAATGAAATTCGCCTTTATTTAGATGCACGTTATGTTTCTGCCTCTGAAGCTGCTTGGCGACTATTTCATTACAAATTACATAATGAGAAAACAGATATTATGAGACTTCAGGTTCACCTCCCTGGACAACACACTGTAACTTTTCAAGACAATGAAAGTTTAGATGAGATAGTTGCACATGGAAACAGCTCTGAGACCACATTAACTGCATGGTTTAAAGCAAATCAATGTTTTCCAGCTGCACATGAACTAACATATGCTGACTTTCCTACTCAATGGGTATATAATAGAGTGCACAAGGAATGGAAACCTAGACAGAGAGGAAATACTATTGGTCAGATGTATTTTGTACATCCAAAAGCTGGAGAACGATACTATCTTCATATGCTACTAAACATAGTACATGGTGCAACATCTTTTGAGCATCTTAAAACAGTCAATAACATCTCTTATTCTACTTTTAAAGGTGCCTGTGAAGCTTTAGGTTTGCTTCAAGATGATAAAGAATGGGATGACTGTTTGAATGAGGCTCAATGTATACAATCAGGGTCCCAAATGCGGTATTTGTTTGCTACCATTCTTATGTTTTGTTATCCTACTCACCCAGAATTGCTTTGGCAAAAATACATCACTGCTTTTAGTGATGATATACTGTTTCAAGCCTGTTTAGATGCAGAAAACAACCCTGCATATACATTTACTGATTCTGATATACACAATATAGCATTAAATCAATTAGAAACTATATTAATCAGAAATGGATTCTGTCTTGCCAATTTTTCAGACATGCCTGTACCAATTCCATTATCTGAAAATCATGTTCACCAGAATTATTTACTTGCAAAAGAATTGCAGTATGACCTTGATCTTCTTAAAGTTAGAGCTCAAGAGGCTTATTCATGTTTAAACCCAGAACAACTATCTATTTTTGATGCAGTAATTATGGCTGTTGAAAATCAACAGCCTGGTGTATTTTTTGTGGATGGTCCTGGAGGTTCAGGTAAGACATTTCTATATGGGGCAATATTAGACAAGATCAGGTCCACTGGACATATAGCACTTGCAGTAGCTACATCAGGTATTGCAGCTCTTTTACTAGATGGAGGTTGTACTGCACACTCCCTTTTTCGAATCCCATTTGAATTGCATGAGGATTCAATATGTAATATAGCACATGGTACAGATCATGCAGTTCTTTTGCAGCAAACAAGTCTTATTGTCTGGGATGAAGCTCCTATGGCACACCGTTTTGCACCAGAGGCTGTTGATCAAACTCTCAGAGATTTAATGAAAGCAGTAGATCCTGACTTGGAAAACCAGCCATTTGGTGGAAAAGTTATTGTATTTGGAGGTGATTTTCATCAAATTTTGCCAGTAGTCCCTAAAGGAAGAAGAGAAGATATTGTCAACTCCTGCTTATTGTGCTCTCCCCTGTGGCATTATGTAAAAGTTACAAAATTAACTGTTAACATGCGTTTACTACAGGCTGAAAGTTCTGAGGAGACTATTGAAAGCCAAAATTTTGCTGAATGGCTTTTGGAAATTGGTGAAGATCGTGCTGAATGGATTGCTGAGAGAGGCAACTATATCAAAATTCCTGATAATATTTGTCTCACTTCACAAAGTATACATGAATTAATAGCTTTTGTTTATCCAAATATATCTATCCATGCTGGTGATTCAAGTTATTTAATGCAGCGTGGAATTCTTGCACCAAAAAATGCAGATGTTCAGTTAATTAATTCAACCATCATGAATATATATCCAGGTGAAGAAGTTGAATACTTGAGTGCTGATACTATTGATGAAACTCAAAGCAATAATCAGGACAATATTTACCCAACTGAATTTTTAAATTCTTTAAATGTCAGTGGGTTACCACCACATAAGTTATCACTTAAAATAGGTGCTCCTGTTATACTTCTTCATAATATCAATCCTTCAGAGGGCCTTTGTAATGGAACACGGTTAGTTTGCTGTTCATTTGCACAGCATGTTATTGAGGTTCAAGTTATTACTGGAAAACATGCAGGGTTACGTACATTTCTTCCTAGAATTACTCTTACACCTTCTAATACTAATACAACATTTCCCTTTGTGCTTAAGAGACGTCAGTTCCCTATACAACCTGCTTTTGCCATGACGATAAATAAGGCACAGGGCCAAACATTGAATAATGTTGGAATTTATCTGCCCACACCTGTATTTTCTCATGGTCAGCTTTATGTTGCTTGCTCCAGGACAACTTCTAAACAAAATCTTAAGATACTGACAATAGGGCAACATGAAAATACTGGATATACTCAAAATATTGTATACCCAGAAGTATTACAGTCATAATACTTTTTTCTACTTTCTTATTACTCATTTTTCTTCATTTATTAACTTAGTTTTCTTTTTTTTAGGCATTCTGAGCTTCTCTTTTAATTTTTCTCTCTTTATTTTCTGTACCTTTTTATCCTTTACTAATGCTCTTTTCATCAGGTTATTATATACTCAGAAATTATTACACTTTATTATAGCTTATACATATTTTCTTTAGATTTCTATTATATTCTACTAAACAACCTTTTTTTTGGTAATAATAATATATATAATAAAGGCATAAATATAAAATATAAAATAACCACACCGTCAACAAAGTGACGGGTTATACACTAGTTATTATTATTATTATTATGGACTTTAATTTTAATGTTGATGAATATAAACCATAACATGATTAATATGAAATTAATTCACTATTACTATGGAACCCAAGAATTACAATACGATTAGAAGAAAGCTCAAAGAGAAAAAATTGCTTCTTATGTTTTTAAAATCAATAATACCCAAACTCTCCAGGAATATCTAAAAATTACTTATGAAATTTATCAAGAGAAACGGGAAATCATAACTACTAGACGAGCATTAACATCAACACCAACACCAACACATGATGAACCAAGGAAGAAGCAAAACTTGAAGAAACGTAAGAACAATAAATATAACGTAAAAGCTTTCCACCAACGCCTCCATTGATCGAACGACTGTCAACGAAAGATCGATAAGACTGCTCGCTACTTGACACAATTGCAATCAAAAAGTCAAACATTAAATTTTTCGTAAGCGTAAATTTTATTATTTTGAATGCGTGCTCTTAATATAAATAATAACAAGTGAAGTCATTTATGAGTATAACCTATTTTGGTCACTCTAGCGCAGATTTAACTTTCATTATCTTCTTTACCATTACTACTAATAATATTATTGTCGGTGTCATCTATTTCTTTATACTTATCAATTCAATCTTCGATAGCTTTTAGTGTGCTCTTCCTCGGATTCGTTTTTCGTTTGTCGAAACTTTTCAACGTGGAGGCAACAATGCCTTTTGCTTCACGTAACTTGCGGATTTCGGTTGCCATCTGATTAAACGAAAATTTCGAATTCAGCCCGGCCTTTTTGTCAAACAAGTTTTAAAGTTCTTCCTCAGTTTTTCGACGTCTAGCGAGGAATTCGTTCGCCCGACTAGTTTACTTGGTTTATTATTATGCTGTTTTGTAGGATCAACTAAATTGATTATTTTATCAATTTTCTGATTCATAATAAGCAGCTAATCAGTAATCTTTGAGGATTTTATAATAAAGGAAATATTCCGATCTTCGCTTGTGAGAGCAAACATTTTAAATGATAAAGTCTGTTGGACAGATTTTGTAAAAGCAGTTCGCGAAGCTTTTTCGTAAAGTAGCCTAATTTCGGTCGTTTTTTATAGCAAAATTTTCCCAAGTCACACTATATTCGAACTAACGTCATTAATGCGTAATCAACATGCGTGAATTTGAAACAATGCCGTTCCGGAGTCATCGGTCGAATTAAACGTTTATCCAATAAGAAGCATTTAATGTAAAACAGAATTTTATCATAATAAATCTTACACGTTATAAACTAGCCTTTAGTAGTTATCAACTTTATTTTCGGTTGAAATTTGCAATAAACCCAGCAGAGTGAAACCGTGGTTACAAGCTTATTGTAAAAAAAGTTGTTTGTTTAAGTAAAGATAGATGGTGTAATGTAATTTGACTGATAAGACGCCTGACGGCTGTCAAGTCTTTTGTCTTAAAGTCAACGTTGTCTTGTTGTTCGAGAAATATCAGGGACTTCTTAAGAGCATCCATTCCTTCATTAAGGGAAATTTTTTTGACGACGGTATCTTTTTCTTCATCTTCCGCGGATTTGCAACCAAGAACTTCTCATCGTTGTCAAGGTTTTCTTCTCGATCGAGGCATTTTGAGATGAAATGAATTGTCCATTGCAGCAAAGCATTCATGTAAAGATGCGATTGAATAATTGGAATTTTTATCAATGAAATTAATGTAAACGGTCGAATAATCGGAAGAAATTAATCAACCCATACGTAAACGGAAATGATTTCTAACGATCGTGTTAATTAACGGACGGTAATTATAATACTAATACAGTCATACCTCTTTTAAATCCCACCTGTGAAGCGGGACGGATTTCCTCTATTGTATTTCTATATAAATTTACCTCGTTAGTGTCCCCTTCAGATATATCCCTATCCCCGATATTTTTGCTGCCCCAAATTCCCATATCATATAAACGATAATTTCGATGTGGAGGGCACTTGATGTAGTTAAAAGGTTTTTAGTTTATAACGGCAAATGATGTAAAGTATATATGTAAGATAATTCGATAAGTCTGTAGAAAAGGCTAAACGCCAAACTTCATTAACTTCAAATGAATACCTCATTTATATCCCTCAAAACTCCTCCAAAGTGGGGATATGACTGTACTATTTATGCATGCTGTCTTAATAGAAAATTTTTTTGGACAAATTCATATGTAACGGTCGAAAAATTTCATGCTCCAGCCCCAATACTTATGTCATTGATTAAGCGTTAGTATTAGATCGATCCATCGCGCGTCAGCTACACAACATGGACAACTTGAATTCCTCAACCTTAGAGATCAATACAAAAATGATAAACCTAATGCTTCAAATGGAGAAATTATCCAAAAATACAATGAGTTTAAACAAGGTAAGCAAACAATGAATACACATTTATTGGGAGCATAGTTGAATGCATTACGACACGCGTTGGGGTTGGGACATAGAGCGTCGTCGGTTGGGGTATATGTAAACTCGTTTGAAAGGTAAATAAGCAGATACGATACGTTTGGGTTAGGTAGAGTAGGAGCAATGAGGGAAGAATAGTTCGAATGATTTCAAATTATTGTTCTCCTGCCACCTGGCTAGATTAGCTCACGTTTCATACACTACACCCTCCTCGTTAGTATAGCTTTAAAATAATGCCTTTCTATTCATTACGCGCACTGCCTTTCCATTGTGCATTCGACTAATGCATTGTTTATCGCTCTACAGTCAAAGCTGGCTATAACGAACTCTGGTCATAATGAAGATCTGTTTATAACGAAGATTTTCTCCAAGCCAATTATAAAAGTTATAATCTTAGCTATAAAAGGTGACCTTCGTTATAAGGAATTTCTGGTTATAAAGAATATTTTCTCTGGTCCCGTAGAATTCTTATAACCAGCTTTGACTGTATATGTCTTATAACGGAGCAATGGAACCAACGACAAGTCCGATTAATAGCCCACAAAAGAATTTAATGGTGAAATCAAGCACTTTCGGATAGTTTGTTATCTGCATTCTTTTTTACAGGATAGTTGTTTATGATACAGTCCCCGGCGAAAATAATGGCGGAGCATATTTCTTAAGGACAAAAATGGACATAATAAATTACGCAAAAAACTTTATTTTTCACATGCGTGTAAGTAAGAGTTTGAATGTGGAAAAGGCTATAATCGAACACATTTTTATTGTCAAGTTATTAAAATATAAATATAATTGTTTAAATGACTGGTACCACTAAGTTTATCTTTAACGTATAGTGAGCCGATCGAACAAAAAACTACCGGAATGGCTGCCGCATCAAAGTCAATTAATAAAAATAGAATTATCAAAATCGAATCACTGGTTGTTGAGAAGACAAATATTGAAGCATTCCTACAGGCTAAAAAGTTGTCTTAGATTGGCTACTATGAAATTTTATGAATATTGCACTGACATGTACAATACTTTTAGTCGCATTTTCAGTAATATTAGAAAAATTAATATTATAACATATGGTGAGCAATGACAACGAATTTTTCTCGGCCATTATTTTCGCCGGGGACTGTACTTCAGAGAGCAGGAGTTTTGTATATCCTTGTATTATGCATTTTCAGTGTGTGAGCTCTATTGTTTTCACTTATTATTATACCAATACTTTCATCATTTCTTTATTATTATCTGCCAAATGGAAAGCCAACCAAATTAGTAATTATTGGAAGTATACAGTGACAATCAAAATAGCAAAAAAACACCATAGACTTTAGAAGGTTTCTCAGAATACTGTGAAAGTCTGGGAATAAGAAGGTATTATTATTATGTTATCTCATAAACTCTATACCAATAGCATCAAGCTAGTTTAAATCTGTCAATTTTGACTATTTATGTTGCGAAAGAGATGTGAGGAGAGTGAGGAGCTGTCAAGTGATGAAGATTTTTCAAGTGATAAGGAACTTTCAAGTGATGACCAATTTTCAGAACCTTTATATGACAACAATGTCTTTGCTGATAATTGCCAAGAAGGGCTCAGCATCACTATTGATTCTGAACTGGATAATGAGGACACTAGCGCATTTGATTATACTGAATTGATGATAGACAAGGAAAATGAAGTTGGGTATTAGGATTATAATTAATCACTGAAATTGGATGCCAATTTTTATTTTCAACGTTTGTCATAATAAACTTATCCCAGTGAGTGATACGTAACGTTAAACATGAAAAAAAAAAAAAAAAAAAACCCCAACCAATCGTCATTAATTTAGTTTTATGAAAACGTCTTTGCATTAATCATGGGTTATTTTAGATTATGAAATGCTTTTAGCCTTGAGATAACGTTAAAAAACCAGTAACATATTCAAAGTTTGCATTCAGATATGCTTATTGGTTATGTTCGCATTTTATCAGATTAAGTACATACATACTCACCCATATTTTTTGGAAAAATTAAATTAAAGCAGAAATTTCATGACTTGCTATTTCTTGATCTTATGTAAATACATTCCACTGTCCCGTGACAACGATAAAAACACGGTAAGATGTGTGTATCTCGCCAAGTGAATGCTTTATCGTGTTTATTAATCAAAGACAGCAACTTGGCGAAACGTTGTTTGTATGTCAAACGTTATCACCATAATCGTTTTCTTTGATGTTGCTAGCGCAGAAGTATCCATAATAAATGATGAAAGATATCAATATGGTAACATGGCAGACCGAATGCTATTAGTCAGTTGAAATAATGACATTATTTTAACAGCGAATGGATACTTGTATTCGAGAAACGTGATATATATCTTATGCGGAGTAACAGCCAATACTGCATAAATTCGTTTTCTTTTTCCTTCTTTTCAATAACCTTGTTACGTTAAATTGCACGCTGGACTTTTGTTATTAGTAATAGGCTTTGATAACAAATATTTAGTATGTAATTTTGAATTTTTCAAGTTGGACATCCTGTTTGCTATTAAGACACCATACAAACTTAAATACAATATTCTAGGCTTTTTTTTTAAAAAAAAAAACAATTTTGGACAATATCATTTGTAACCGTTACAATATGGTACTGTTATGTATTTCCCAATAACATGAATCAGCAATTGCTATAGCCAAACATATTAATGTAACAATGTTGGCCAATTCAACACGAGGGAATCAGCAGTTATTTAAAGCCGCTAATAATTTGGAGAAATTCATTCGTGAAAAACGGGTAAATAAATCAGTATTACACAATTTTTAGTTAACAATTAGGGATTTAATAGTCAAATTTTTTAAGTACTTTGAGAATAAAAAAATCGCGGAGAAATTGAGATTATGAAGCTTACTATCTAAAATTTCAAAGAAAATAATTTGTTGAGTTTCGTCAAATTCAAGTGTTTGACTGTAGGAGGTGTTTGTCCTTGAGAAAATAATAATTGCTTTCAAAAATTAGCAAAAACATCTCTTTGATTAATTTCAATATCTTGGCAACCTTTTCAATGCTTACACTTAGAAAAAGAGTAATACACCCCCAGCGAAAATAAAAATCTATTTTCTTAAAACTAAATAGAATTAGGTGACTAATAGAGTAACTACAACTTTTATTATAATGTTAATACTTGATATGTACTCCTTCAGCGTTAAACTCAATTTTGCATGCTATTGATACTATTAACTATCACCTTTTTATCAATTGTCTCCCATTCTCCGTGATAATACTAATAAAATTGGGTTTAAATCTTTTTTTTTCTATGCTATCATTTTTTAACATGTTCTCGACATTATGCTTCAATATCAAACCAGCCCGGATATTCTCAATAGGATTGAGATGCGGACTGTATGAAGGCCAAGCAAAAACGCGTCGTGGAAGACGAGTATTCAGATTATTTGGAAGAAACTTTTATTGGAAAAATTGCGTTATAACCAAGGTGAGAAAGCTTACGACGGATATATTGCTAACTTCAAAATTGCATTTTGAAAATTCCGATAATTTAGATCTTGATACATTCTTCCAAAATAGCCTTTATTTCAGTAGTCGGTTGCATAATGATTGCCTTTGATGATCATCCCAAGCTGCGTCGTTTTTCTGGAGTCAATTTTCTTAGACGGCCAGATTTATGAATTTTGCGAAGTTTTTTAATAAACTGACATATCATTGACATGTACGTAGTGGTATACCAGTTTTGCTTAAACTTTCTTTCGGAATACTAATACGGATATTCTGCTGCCAAAGTAAGTTAACAATAGAACGGTTGTTTTCACAGACAGAGCGAAATAAACAAAAAACAATGTTTACTGTTTATTTGTCTTTTGTAATCTTAACTACACGATTTGCTAACAAAACTGAATATATATTGGGTGACTGATAGTGTTACGCGTACAATAAAACCTCATAAATGCAACGCCTTGGGACCAGGGGCCATGTTGCATTTATGGAGGTTTTGCATTTACAGTCAAGACTCGATATAGTCAAGTCGACGGGACGGGGGTTTTTCTTGACTATATCGAATATTCTCGTTAAAGTAAAGTTTATATATACGTGGTATAAATCTTTACTATATCGCGACTGGCCAGTCTTGTGGTAGCATAATAATAAATGGCTCAAACGTTATTTTGACTGA